CATTTATTATCTTAGGTAAGGTGAGATCTCATATTTAAAGGGTAATTGTGCTTATGCAATGGCAAAGTTATATAAAGCTTGTAGAATCCGAATCATTACTGGGTATCGGACGATCACCATGCATGATACTCAGTATCAGCTGCAAAAATCCTGATCGGAGCATCCATACTTACAACTATTTGAAAATCTGGAATCTGAGGGTTCAAATAACAAAAAAAATCAAAGTAATGAAAAAAAAAACTACCTTTAAATTTGTCCAAATTTTAATGCTTCAATTCACAGTACTAAACAAAAAACATGTTTTTTTGATATATTTTCAGAAATGTACAAAATATCTTTAAAGATTTTTGGCATAAAAGAAAAATTTATAACTTTGATACATTCAATGTCATTTTGGCCATTCCTACAAATATACTCTTGTAACCAAGCCTTGGCAATATGGCAAAAAGCAATCTCGATAATTATTTTCCATATTGCACGATAACAATATTTCGATATAAATTTCAAGTTGATCTTTCTAAATTTAAAAGAGAACTCTAACAATGACTAAGGCCACAAAAAATAGAGAACCGATTAAATGGCATAACATATTCTCGGATAATACATTTTGGGTGGCCGATAATTCAGTTTATCTCGAATATAAACACTTTTAGATTTCCATTGTTGCACATTTCTGCAGTGTGATTGGCTTTTCCAGAGTTTATCATTGTTATTGACATAAATTTCACTGTGATTCAATATAATATCGTTTATCGGCTCAGCCCTACTTGCAACATAAGCCTGGTTTTGAGGTCCAGTGTCACATTTCAGCAAATTTACCTGTATAAAGGCTGTGGCAGGAAATTTTCTCCCTCGATGCGGATGTCTGGATACCTCTGGGTGAGAACCCGAGTGTACTCTTCAAACACCCGCCGGTACCCTCAGGAAACACTGAAAATTGAGAGACACCGTACAAAGGAAATTGGCCAATAAAAAATACACCTAATAAAAAAAGCTGTTACCCAATTGCAAATTGTTATAGCTGTTTGTATAATACTAAGCCATTTTGCATGCAAAGAGCTCTATTAACTGCTTGTTAAAATACTAGTTATACTATATAAAATACTAGTTTACCTAAAATTACATACAATTCCAAATGCTGTTTTTTTTCCCCTTCTGTTAGACCAAAAGTCACACATGTAGGTTAAAGTTTGTTTTATATTCGCACATTTGTTAATTTTAAATTTTAAAAACATCCATTTCCTGCTTACGTTTGAACGCTGTTGATCACGTTCTTAAACAGCGCTAAATTGCCATTGTTCATTCATTCATTCATTTTCTTGTCGGCTTAGTTCCTTTATTAATCCGGGGTTGCCACAGCGGAATGAACCGCCAACTTATCCAGCAAGTTTTTACGCAGCGGATGCCCTTCCAGCCGCAACCCATCTCTGGGAAATGATTTGCCATTGTGTTCAACAGAAATGACAGTGATTGGCTGTGAAGGTCATCAGTTCACCAAACTCACCACTGTTTACTGAGTGTAACCAAAGATAAAGGCACACTAAAGTGTTTTAAAGCCACAATTCATCAGTGAATCTCATGTCAGCTTATAGACAAAACAGCTGATAGACGTGACTTTGAAATGGTCCCTGTAACTGCGGTTACACTTTGTGAACAGCTGTGAGTTTGGTGAACTGATGACCTTTAGGGCCAATCATAGTCATTTCTGTTGAGCATGTGAATACAATGGTAAATCAGCACTGTTTAAGAAGGTGCTCAACAGCGCTGAAATTTCAGCTGGAAATGGATGTTTTTAAAATTTCAGTTTGGATTGGTACCAAATTCCAGTATTGTGACAACCCTACTTGTGACACACTAACCTGAATATGCAGTCGAAAAACCATACCCGTCAACCCTCCCGTTTTTTTCCAGGATTGTCCCGTATTTTACAATTCTATCCCGCTACCATTCCGTAAAAGCATTTTCCTGTATTTCTCTCATATGTTAATCTTTCGATGAAGGGTGGCAACAAACATTAAAGAGCCAATCCTCCTATAAGCAACCCATACCGCCAAACCACAAGGGGACGCCCCCTGCTCTTAAATGTGAGTCATTTTATTAAGACATGAAAACACTTTGAAATAAAAATAAAAACGGCAGAATTTTCATTACAGTCCCCGTTGCCTCTCATAGGCAATCCTCAAAACAGTCCGATTATGTAGCGGTGCGTGACTGTCAGACTCACATTATAGTGATAAATAGACACTGTTTCCCAAATGGATTCTGTACATGAGATGTGAAGTGAAAGTGGACACTCTGGATTTTGGGTGCATGTTTGAACAAACATATACACATAATAATAACAATAATAATAAAAACATTTAAAAAATAATATCTAAACATGCCAATTTTGGTGTTTTTTTTTCTTTTAAACAACAAATTTGGTCTTAAATGAGCAAAAAAGTTACTTTTGTCATTATAGATGTGTGCGTTTTTAAAGTGACACCTCTGATATTTAATGTAATCAAATGGAAAATCTAATGGAGAGATTTATTAGCTGCTCCTAATTCAGAATGTTTAAGTTATACAGTGAAGAAAAGGGAAATGTGATTTGATATCTTGATTAATTTTTTTTATAATAGCTATTCATTTTAATAGGCTAAACTGTTTATTTGCAGCTTTACTAATGTATACTAAAGTATAATAATAATTCCTTTGTAAATAATATTAACATATTACTGACCGTTTCAACTCTTTATTTACAGTGAAACAGCTCCAGATGAATAGATTTAGTAATTTGTGGATGTTTTATTAGTTATTTCTTATTTTCACAGCCCAACAAGTAGGCGAAAAACGCATGAAAGTACGAGGTCAAAAATTAGCACAATTTAATTGTGAAAAATGTACTTTAATAGCCATTGGCTGCTGATTTCCCTAGAGTTTGCAAAGAATACTTTTCTGAACTTATATTTATATATATATATTTACATTTATAAAATCAAGTTTACCTCATAATGTCACACTCTGTCATACACTGTAGTTCATGAAAACGATTACAGGGTACGTTACATGGTACGTTACAAGTTTATCTTCAAATTATATAAATTCTAAACAATATTAATGTTTTTTTCTTTGTTCTGGAGTTACGATCATTAAAATTTACTTAAGAGTAATGTCAAATGTCTAAATGTCAAATAAAACAGCATGTACAGGCATAAGGAAAATACTGTTATGTTACTGAGTGATAAGCAGGGAGAACGTATGCTAAAATTCTATTTAAATGCACTTAGATGACCCATAATAATGCCATTTTTAATAATATAAGTTGTGTTATCAACACATTTGATCAGCACATGAAGTGACAGGAAACGGAAAACCATTCAGTTGCTCACCAAATCTGAAACTTCAGCAGTGGGAATCCGGTATATTGCATTTTCATCTTTTTAATGCTGCCATTGTCGGCTGTGGCGTGATTCACTGACAGCACACACACCAGTAAAAGATATAAACACCGCGTTTCCATCCCGCACACTCCGCTACTGGAAACTCTGCCCTGAGCCACTGTCCCTACCGGAAGCTCACAAAGAATAAATACGTTAAATGCCAAATTAAGAGTTTCAGTTCCCGAGTCCTGAAAAAAAGTATCAGTATAATGCTTTATGCTGTCGGCTGGCATATGACAATGTTTTTAATCTTTTACTTTTAACTTATAACAACACAAAACATCTAAAAGTTGTTATGTAACAAGCTGTACTGTAAACAAGCTATATATATATATATATATATATATATATATATATATATATATATATATATATATATATAAAAGAGACCGAAGTTTTATGTCGTCGAATAAAAAAAAGCTTTTCTGAAGAATAACGTTACAAATGTAATGGCCATCAGTGACTCGTGTTTTTAAAGACGCTCGTTAATTAATAATAATTAATCATGGTTTTCTATAGTACACCTGTAGTAATTATGACTGTAGTAAACATGTTTCTGTGCGTACTGTCGTTTTAAAAACATATTGTAGTAATGCTATAAAAAGATCGTAGGAAATGTGTTTTTCTCGTGCAAACATTGGATTGCTATAGTAATCATAACTATATTTTATTTTAAATGTAACTGATAAAACACTGCAATGCTATGGTAAAAAGATTTTCAATCAAAAATTACATTCAACATAACACAAATCACAAAAAAAATCATATTTATTTTTAATCCGTCATGGTAAAACTATATTTTACTTTAAAGTTACTATGTTATTACTTTAACTGTCATTGTAAAACCATGATTCATTTTGTAGTTACCATGTTCATACTTCAAATGCTATAGTTAGTAAAACCATGATTCATTTAGTAGTTACTATGTTATTACTTCAAATGCTATAGTAAAACTATAATTCATTTTGTAGTTCCCAAAGTAGGGGCCAGGAACCACTTCTCATGCTTCCGCCCCCACATCAGACTTCCTGAAAGCAAAGAAAATCAAGGTGCTCCAGGGTTGGCCAGTTCAGTCACTAGACATGAACATTATTGAGCTTTTCTGCGGTACGATTAAGGAGGCATTGTAGATGAATTCAAAGAGTCTTGATGAAGTCTGGGAGTCCTGCAAGAACTTTCTTTGTCATTCCAGATGACAAGTTATTTGAGTCACTGCAGAGATGTATGGATGCAGTCCTCCAAAATGAGTCACACACAATCTTATTTATTTTTCCACTGCACCATGACTTTATATTCTGTACTGTACATTATTTCTGTTAAAATGACAAGACTTTTGTCTTAGCAAAGTCTGACCCTTTTTGTCATAATAATATAAATAAAAATCAAGACATGATACGATTTTAAGGTAAATTGAGCATAGTCTAGAGGCCTTTACCTTTACCTTTATTAAGCCACTTCTGATACCAAATTATCATCTCGAAGTCGAGTTATTATTTGTTGTTCCTAAAAGTTGGATGGGCGACAAGACTTTTGTCAGGTAGTGTACATAAAAGTTTCATAAAAAAAGCAAAACACCAATTTACAGTAGGAATAAGTCACTTTTTATTGAGTAAAAATCAGACATGAAGACGTGCAGACTAAAAACCAGTGTAACAAAGTCACCATGATCCAAAAAAGAAAAAAAAAGAAAAAAAAGTCTGCATCCCCTGTAAAAAAAATGTGATCTATTTCCAGACAAACCAATTTTCTTCACCAGTAGAGCCTCTCAATTATTCATTCATGAACCTGTGCAAAGTCTCCATCGTTCCTGAAAATCTCCAATTGTTTTAATGTAACTAGTGATTTCCCACCGTCTGAAAAAGGTTGCTTTTATAAATCAAAGCATTTCTCATATTTCCTCAACATTGAACCCATCTTTACACTGTAAATATGTAGCTTCGCATTCTTTCCACGTTTAAAACTAAAACTCCAAAATAACACAAGAGAAAATCAAATTAATTAAAACAGATGACTAGGTCAACGTCGACCACTTAAACTGAATACAAGCGCACTGGCAGACGTGATGTGACAGGAAAACACTCAGCGTCTGTGGCGGCTGTGGCTCGAATGGCTGCTGCTGTGGTGTTTGCTTTTATGAGAGCGTTCATATGACCGTGAGCGTTCCCGCCGGTCGCGGTGATGTCCGCCGCCGCTGCTGCGCTCATGTTTGTGCTTCTTCGCCAGATCTGAGGAGCTTCTGTCCCGCTCGCGCTCTCGGTCCCGCTCTCTGTCCCGCTCGCGAGGTTTGCTGGTGGATCGAGAGCGGCTGCGAGAGCGTTTCCTCTTGTGGCTGTGTCTGCTGTGCTGGTGCAGGTCGTCCGAGCGCTGCTTTGACTTTAAGTGTGGCAGTAGCGGAGATGGAGGGCCGTGGTTGGTGTGCCGGCGTGGAGACAGGCTGCGGCTGTGAGAGCGGCTCCGCGAGCGAGAGCTGTAAGTGCCTGAGTGACTGCGTCTGTTGTTGTAACTACAGAAAAAACACAATCGATTTAAGTACAAAGACCAGTAATGCGGATGATACACAGAGCAACGTTTTGAGCACTGTTGTTGGGCAACTTTGGGAAATGATGCCATAAATTGGTAACCAGGTGTGACACTAATTAGAGCAACGGGTTACATCAACAACAGTGTTTCTCAACTGGTCGGTCGCGACCCAAAAGTGTTCAAAAGTGTTTTCAGTGGGTCGCGGAGTGTGTGGTCAAAAAAAACAACAAAAGTTTAATTTTTTACTTGTTTTGCTTATATCGGACTTTTATTTTAAAATGCGCGTGCGACAACCGTACCATTTGACATGTGAAATTTCATTGAATTAAAGCAACAAATATGTTGAATTGCAAGTACGACCCTGAATATGTAAAGTGTGGATTTACATATATTGACGACAAAAAACAACATTTAGAAAGCAAACATCCCAGTTGCAAGGACAAACCTGTGGACTATTTTCATTGACGTCTCCAATAGCTGAAAACATCACAAAACTCCCGAACATCTTCATGTTCAAAACAAGTACAGGCACTCCGCACATCTTACTGTGCTCACCGTCAAGCAAGCCCACACAATAGCAGAAGAGCAAATAACTAGTGATTATTATAAAAAGGGTTATGATTATTTTAATAATTTTAATTTAATTTGATGGTTTGTTCTGTTCAACAGGATCAGTGTTAACGTTTTATTAACAGTTCAGTTTAGTTAATAGTAACAGAACCTTTCCTTACCCTAACCACTGTTTACAATATTTGATGTTGTTTTTTTCTGTAATATTACTATAATTCAATACATTTTGTTAAATGCTAGAGATAAAGTATTGTTTATTTGTAAGTCTTGGTGATTTTCTTATGATCTGTCTGTTACTACTTGTGTATGTTAACAAATAAATACAAATTAATTATAATTCCAAAAACTATATTATAGTTGCTAAAAATTTGGGTCGCGGCTTGATGACCACATAAAAATGTGGGTCCCATCACCAAACCAGTTGAGAACCACTGATCTACTATATTGTAGTCAATTCTTTATAGGAAAGTTGCCAAGCCTTATCGCTCTGCAAAATTGCCCGACAGCAATCCACAAAAAGATCCAGAGTGTATCATCAGCATCAGAGAGCTTACAGGAAAGGACTCACTGCAAATGCTACTTACTGTCTTCTGGGAGAACGTGATCTGGTCCGGGATCTCGTCCGAGAGCGAGAACGACTAGCACTTCTACTGTTGCGACCCAATTTACTGTCCTTCCTGAGACTGAGGAAAACAAAAGGAGAATGTTCAATCAATGTCCTTAATGCAAAGTTCACAATGCATGATTTTCAGTATTGTCAGGCGGTCGTTGTTTTAACACTGCATGACTGTCTAAGTAGCACTGGGTGCTGCTGTGTTTACATTGTGTGATAGATTGGTGAGAGGAGGTTACATGATGCATGACTTTACTGCAGATAGAATCACAGACAACTCTGGCCTGCAAATGAAGTTTCACCACAAAATGCATGTGAGATGTGATAGGAAATAATGAGAAAGCATTATTTCCTCGAGTTCTTGAGCAAGACTGGAAGGGCTACATCCCAAACTAACATCAAAAAGTCATGGGTTCTCCTTTCCAAAAAAGAGAAATAAGCAGTACTTTTTGGAACCAAAGCCATGTTTCCTGACGTTCTGGATTTTGAACTGGTGGATATTTATCAGTGGTGGAAAGAGTACTGAAAAATCATACAAGTAAAAGTACCATTACTTGCCTAAAAATGTAGTGCAAGTAAATTAAAAGTATCTGTTGTAAATATTACTCAAAGTATGAGTAAAAAGTAGCCCTTTCAAGAGTACTCATGAGTATTACAGCGAGTATTACACTGTTAAAAGCTGATGCATTTACTTGTAATTTGTGCATGCGTGTGTAAACGTAACATTCTGTAGTGCATTCTGTCATAAGACGTTAACATTCAGTTAGATTTAGGTTGTAAAAATCAGGTGACCAAAATTCAATGTCTAGCCAGCGTCAAAATACATTATTTTGATGTCCAATAACGACGTCAAATTACGTTGATATTTAGTTGACTTTAGGCTGTTGGAAAGTGACCAAAATCCAACGTTAAGCCAACATCTTAAAACAACGTCATATTGACGTCAAAAGCTGATATTTGTTTGTCAGGTATTGCAACCAGAATCCAACATCTGATAGACGTCATAGTGGTCCACGCAACGTCAAGCTCTAACACCATTAGATGTTGATATTTGGTTGGTTTCAGGTTGAATGTTGGACATTGACCTGATATTGAGTTCTGACATAAACATGATTTTTATTTCCAAACAAAATACATCTTCCCCACGACACTGGGGTAAAACGTCATTCTAACATTATGTTGACGTCTTGTGCCTGCTGGGTGTTTAAGGCCATTTTGGTCATACAGTAAACATCAGTCATCTTCTCATCAGTGACATGCATCTAAACAGTCTCAGGGTCAATGAGTGTATAAAATTTTGGACATCAGTCGGCGCCAGTGGTGTAGTGGTTAGTGCGTCGACACATGCACTCCGGTGCTCGCGGCGACCCGGTTTCGATTCCGCCTCGCGGTCCTATGCCGATCCTTCCCCTCTCTCTGCTCCCCATGCTCTCCTGTCTATTCTCTACTGTCCTTTCAAAAATAAAGGTGAAAAACCCCTAAAAAATAATTATAAAAAAAAAAAAAATTTTGGACATCTTCTTGGACACTTTTAATGTTTCCAATCAGTTTGCTGTGATTATAAAACGACCATGTCTTGAGGTAGTTCATTATGATGTGATTTACCTTCTATATGTGATTTGATTGGACAGGAATCAGGGCTTATTTTTCTAATATCCATAGACAGGACAAAAATATAGTATTGACTGCAGGTTAAAGTAGTGGAGTAAAAGTACCAATACAGCACTAACGATGTACTCAAGGGAAAGTAAAAGTACACCTTTATAAAACTACCTAGTAAATTACAATTCCTAAGTAAAACTACTCAGTTACATCATTTGAGTATTTGTTAATTAGTTACTTAACACCACTGATATTTATAATCAAATATTTCATAGGTGTCAGTGATTCTATCTTTGATAATTCACACTGCGTGACATTCGTGTGAAAGCACAGATTGACTCTAATTTCAGGGTTTTTTCTGCAATTTCACAGAATCTGTTGACAAATTGGGGTTAAAAAAAAAATCAAACTTTAGGTAAAGTCATGAAGTGGCAGCACAGTACAAGTTTCCTAAAATATATTTCATAAATTGAGTCACATTTGTCAGACACTCACCCATTGTGTGGGCTCTTAGACCCCTGAGGACGATCTTCTGGTTCTTTTTTCATTGCCTTGAGTGTTTGAAGGTTGGGAGACTTCTCGTCGGTTTTCATTATATTAGGTGAAGCTGGCAGGAAGAATTGAATTGTGTTAGCTTTTCCCTTGATTTACAGGTTTAAGGTTTTAAGGGAATAGTCTGGGCAGAAAAAAAAACGGACTCATTCATTCACCTTGGTACTGTTCTAATGCATATGTTCTTTGTTTTAAAAGCCACAAAACAAAGAGAAAACTTGCATTTTCCCTTACATTTGCAATTTTTCCTAAATACGACATTTTTAGTTTCCACCAAACCCAAACATATATCCTCTCAACACTTGAAATGTATGCAACACATCACGTGACAATTCTTTAATATATTGGCCTTTAAATAAAATCCTATTCATAAAAAAACGTTGATCGTCAACTTTAAAAAGCGGTTAAGCAGAATACTCCCACTGTTTAGTTCACAAAATAAATTGTGATCAGGCCTTGTCAAAAAGCAATTATAAAGTGGTATCAAAATGGTAAAAAAATTCTTTTAAAGACATGCAATAGCTTTATGTTGAGATGAATATTAGACATGATAGGTGCACTATGCTAAAGTACAGCACTTAAAATACTTTTTCTCTTTCTAAAAACGCACACGTTTCTTTTATTCTCCTACACAAACATGTCTTATTAAACTTTACAGTTCTGTACAAATCTGAGGTAAGAAATTAATGTTTCTTTGTTAACTGTTCAATTGTACTGAATAAATGGCATGTTTTAAAAACCTTAAATACTTTGAACATACGGATTTGTTCCGTTAATTTCAACAGTTCATGCTGCTATAGACAAGTAAAAGTGACTTTAAATATAACACGTATGATTACTACATTTCAAACTTAGCCTAGGCTATTTCTGTATATGAATCTTTGTGTGGGTGACAAGTGTTTGTTTGCTTCAGTGCTTTGCATTGATTGAAACACTGCATTTTTGAGAGTTAATTGTTTATATTGTGGCTTTTCTCAAGTAAAAAAGTGGGTTTACTGCTGCCGTATCAGCAGCACAGCACATACATAATTATCAATTTTTTGAGTGAATGTAAAGACATTAAAATATATTTTTACTCCCACTAGCCCTTTGGCAGGTGAAGATAAAAGTTTGGTCTGGTCTTACCGGATTTTGCGGGCCCTGCCATATAAACAAGTACAATTTGGGTTTTACTTTCATTGTTTGGAAAAACACAAGAACCTAGTCTAATCTATAAATATATATATATATATAAATAAAGAAATAATAAGTCGTCCTTATAAAAACACAATATAAAGACGAAGTGGTAACTTACATGGTTTGGATGCAGGAGAGAATCCACCAAATGAACAGATAGCAGGGGTGCCATCTGGATTCAGTCCTTTGGCCTTCAGTTTGGCGTCCTGTATCGCCATCTTTCGCTTGTCCACTTCCTTTTCCAGCAAATCGTAATTTGGCTGCAAAACAAACAAACAAATTAAAAATGATAAAACACTAAATAAAACCAGAATTAGGACCTGCTAACTCTAGAACTTTTCATAACATAAACTGAAATGTTTGTCTTGAACTGAGGACACAAGTTATTCAAAGGATGGCCAATTAAAAGTGGATAACAGTAAGATTGTACAAGTCACAGGATCACCAAACATGCATCCTAATAGCAGGTTTATAGTGGGCCTAAAGCAAAAATGAGGTGAAACAAATCTAACCTTTCTTCTTGTGTACAACTTCAATGTGGTTGTACATATGTCTTTGATCTCTTCCTCCGTGGCACCAAACAGCAGGTACCAAATCGGCCGAGAGGGTAACGATATCTGAGAAACAGACCGATATTAACACAAGATCTTGACAATAAATGAAGACAGAAAGAGGCGATGAAAGATTCAGTACCTGAAGCACTCGTGCAGCGAGGTAAATGCAGGCACAGGCGATGGTCTCAGCTTGAAATCTCACAAACACATTAGTGCGAAGGCTGTCGTTCATGTAGTTCCTGCAACACACAAGGTGAACCACAACATTGCCATTTCCTATAACTTCACCTGCATGTACGAGGTTTGAAACACAATGCAAAAATAACTAAATATAGAAATGGAGGCTTTGGTTTAACTTTGTCCTTTTCCTGCCTCGCGTTCCTGTTGTTGTACAAGTATTACGGCGGGCATGCGGTGGGAACAGGCACGCGCATGTGTTCAGCGCACTCATGTACACACTAGAAAGCTCATGGGAGGACATGGGTCTACTAATTACACAAAGCATGCAATGCTACTCAATCCTATTTAAAAAGATAGATCACCCAAAAATTTATTTACTCACCCTTCACTTGGTTTAAAACCTATTAAGAGTTTCTTTTTTCTGTTAACCACAAAATAAGATATTTGGAACGTTGCTGGTTGCTGGGACCCATAGACTTCCACAGAATTTTTCTGATAAGTGCTAGCAAACAATTATTCGAAACATCTTTTTTTGTTCAACAGAAAAAAGAAACTCAAAAACCACATGAGGCAGATATACTTTTGGGTAAACTATCCCTTATAAAATAAGCTGATGAAAGTGTAAAATGGAGAGAAAGAGCAACTTTAATGTGGCAAGTGTTGTAGCCAATGGCTGCATGCAACTTGGAACACTATACAGCATGCATAACCAGTAATCAAAGCGGGACTGGGAGCAGCTGCCCTGGGTATGGACAAACAAACGTCACCTATAGCACAAGACTAGAGGAGACTATCAGACAAACAAAATCGTAACTTCAGCTTTGAATGATTGCCAGATATGGAAAGCAAAGCTCTTTGAAAAAGCAAACGCTATGTGTCAAAAACAGCTACATTATGATGCAACAGAAACACTAGATTTCTTAAACATTTGATTTAGATTGAAAAGCTGAGCTTCAAACAAATGGTTTAAGTTGCAGTTCCTGTAGGACACAACGCCTCACACCAAATTATTGTGATAACAGCGGTGTATAAATATATTTATAAAATATAATTAAAATGGAAACTGTCATTTACTCACCCTTTCTAAACCCATGACATTTTACTCAGTGGAACACAATTAGGAAAAATCAGATGGTTAAGACCGCCCACTCAACGAAGAAAGCATATGATGACCAAGGCTGACTTCATAATCTTAAAGAATGTAATTACATAACTATCTGGAATACTTGATTCTGATTAACCAATTGTGACAATCCAAGGTATGATATTCATAGATAACAACCGCTTAAACTTATTTGGGTACTTCAACCGATCTTTCCTCTGTAAATACATTTACATCCAAATATTTAAGCTTGTAAGTCACAATGTTTTTGTTTCTGTCAGCATTGCATTTAATTAAATTAGTAAGTCATTACAGCTCAGAACAATGCTTGGTGTAAAAAAAAAAAAGTTTTATGGCAAGTAGCTGTGTAATAAGCAGGATGAAGTACATCCAGGCAGTTGTATTAGCAGAATAAAGCCCTTTAGTCTTCTACAACAGTGCTTCACTATGCATTAGTCGATAAGCCTTTTGGGCTTTATTCAGTAGCTATGTTTCTATCCAAAGATGCAAATTAAATTTATGTGCAAAACTGGAATATCGCATAAAGGACGTGCGAATAAGGCAACATTTCCATCCAATGGGTCAAAGAAAACAAAATTGTCAATTTCTGATTAACTGGCGCCAAATTAAAAAAAAAAAAAAAAAAAAAAAAGTACTTTTCTGCAGTAGGAGATACAGCGTGAATCTTTTCTTTATTTAATAAATTACTTGCACTTCGGAAAACAATGCCGAGATGCAATAAGTGTGTGGCGATGTTTAAAGGCATGAGACATGGAGCACAGACTAATACTGAAATGGTTAAGGTGTTTTAGAATGACCAACACAACATTTCAGATGTTTTACAATGTGGTCAGCCTGCAGTTTGTCTATTCACACACATTTTATCACCCCATGATCTCTTGTAACAAAATCACATGATTTTTTTTAAATGTGCATACTGGAAATTGTTTGGTAAAAGAATTAATCATAGTTTATGCACTTTTTTTCTTATTGAATAAAAAGTTTATCCTACTCAGTTATGTGCATACATTTTTTTAAGCGCATTATCAAAATGTATGTGCATCTTGCTGTTTCCATCAGCCATTTTCTATGAGCATATCCAAAATGGGAATAAAAACAGGTAGATGGAAAATAGGGCTGGGCCGATAAACAATATTATATCGAATTGATAAAAATAAATTTATGTCAAAAACAATGATAAGCTCTGGACTTATTTGCTCTATACTGATCTAAGAGCCAATCACACAGCAGAAATGTGCAACAATAGGAATTTAAAAGTGTGTTAATATTTACTTCCTTTTTTCACCAAAGTATCTTTTTTCCTATTTTTCTATGCCACCTCTCAACTGACCTGTTTTCCCCTGAAATGTGTGATGTTTGTGTATGGTCAAAGAGGTCCAGTTTCGCTGCATTCAATATGGATAATAATTATTGCGATTGTATTTTTGATATATTGCCAAGCCCTAATAGAAACATAGCTAGTAAAAAATATTCCTTGACGTTAAAGCATGAAAACGCACATTGTGTGCCATGTTACAAGTCAAAGGAAAGCTTTGCCTACAGGAAATTCAAAATTTTACCACAAAATAAACAAATCTTCCTCAGCAGAACCTTATCCAGATAAGTCTTTTCAATATTTATGGAAAATGGTGAATACAAGTACAGATGTTGATCTTTGATCAACTAAACTACCTCCGGTCTTCTTAAGAAATATTTTACAGAGCGAGTCAACAAAAGTGACATACTAATATCGAATTGTCAGAAACACATGAGATCTAAGAGTATGAGTTTTATCAAATATGTTGGTATATCTTGACATCATATGCTTTTAAAGTATGGAAAATAGCAACATTCACAATTCTAAAAAAAAAATCATATATGCTTGAAAAAACACCATATGAAATGACAATTTCCATTTTTAGGTGACTTAGTAACTTAAATTACATTAAGTAACAAAACAAAAACTACTTGTACCACCTACATCTATCAGTTGATAATCATTTCTTTAAAAAAAACTACCTTTTAAAAATTAAAGTAGAGATAAAACTTGAGACTTGAGCAAAAACAAAATACAAATCCTTTTGGACAACAGCAAGAAAACAAGATGCTGCTGGCAGCTGGAAAAGGCCCCCTTCAGTGATTCTCGGGCAGAGAGCTCTCACTGGATTGGCTGTCTCGAGAAGGGCAGCCAATGAGGGGGAGATTCCTGAGGTCATGTGGTTGGAGGAGTAGAGTTCAGAGGACCTTTATGACACTTACCATCATGGACTACCCTTTAATCAAAGAGTAGAAAAAAGGACAGAGTTAAACTAAGCTCTCCATTTCCCTTTAATTACAGCCATGAACAAGAGATTTCAATCAAAAGACACACACATGAGCCACGAATACACCAATCCATCAGATGAGAGGACAGAAAAGTTACGTAACAGAGGCAGAGGGTTCATTACTGGGCTGATTATGTTCCAGTGTCGAGACACTAATGCAAGATTGCTTATTTACTCACCAGGCTGTCTGGACCAATGTTTGGTTCTTCTCACATTCAAGGACTTGCAGGTACATGACGATAATCTAGAAAGGCAATGATTGAATGAACTGTAGGTTAAACGACCCATGTCTAGTCCATACAAATTGTAACAAGAAAAACAAAAAGGTTGTGCTGCTATCAAGTGAGATGGTAGACGTACCTTGTGTGGGTGTTTGACGTGAACACAGAAGCCCAGCTCCTTCAGTATACGCCGCTCCGCTTTTATCACCTGGTTTTTGGTGTTTATGTAGTTCTGATCAAGTATCAATGGACTTGGACTCCTGATTCATGAAGGAACGAAAGTAAAATGGTTTTCCCACGACCCAAATACTATTAAAGAATATGAAAAAAGTGCCTTTTTTTGTTTGCTTCATTTTCAATTCAAATCATTCCATTTCCCTTTCAACCAACTACAGGCAACAGGTCCAGTGTTTTGACTCCTGTAATTTCAGTGTAAGACTTTTCGCACTGCCACAAGTGACTGTTGGAGGAAAAACAAAGCGCTCCACCTCTCACCACATCATAGCTTCAACAGAAATTAGATACACGTCTTTTAAAAACAACTGAAAGCATAAATCCAACTGTTATACTATGTCAACACTGGGAAACAAAATCACAACACAAATAGTCTTAGAATAGCCATTAAAGCATTTATAAAGCATAAATAAAACTGCTTCTAAAACAAGATAATAACATGCTAACAGTGCTGAGTCACAATCTGAGAATAGCACAATGGGGTTTTAGAGGTGTAATCATAACATTAGTCACCTTCACCACATGCTCAAAAATCAGTAAATCAGCAATTCTAGTGTAAAAAGCATTTAAATGGCCTGTACTCTTGCTATAATGCTAATACGGTAGGTGTTCAGAAGCGAAACTATCTATAATACCATCAAATGTAGTTTTCTACAGCTGAATAATAATAATAATAATAATAATAATAATAATAATGAGAAGACGACGACTATGAATCTTACAACTACTAGGACTACTATGACGACGGCTAAAAATACTACTACTACGACTACTACTACTAATAATAATTATAATAATAATAATATACTCCAGTTATAGACCAATAAAAAATAAATAAAGCGAGAAAAATTTATATATAAAATTAATGTAGTCTCTCTTTTACTTTACTAAAAATTTGTTTTCGCTTTTTATTAAACGGGTTTACACATATTTAAATACACTTTGTATTAAAAAATTTTTATGAACTAATCAGTCCTTATCAGAATGCTTTCATTTTTTACGGCAACATCCAGAAATGCAGATAGTTTGTCTAAATTTGCTTTAATTCTTATATTTTTACGTAAAACTTGAAAAGAAATCTTATTTCATAACTATCATAAACAAATCTACACAAAACAATCAAAGATTTCTAACGACGAATGCAAACATGCCCTGACAAAACCCCTCAAATAACTGTACATCAACATTTCGCGACTTAACATAAATACACGACATAATTCCGCATTTCGAACAAACTTTAAAACAATAAATATCTAACAATACCCAACTTTGTAATTCAATAAAAATGACAGTTTCTGTCACATGAACACACAAGAAAGATCCATCTAGGATGTGCAGCGTGAGACATTTCTGTGGAAGCTATGACATGTGTGGTGGTGGTGAGGTGTCTTTTTTTTTGCAAAATGAAAAGAAGATTGAGATCATCACCTGTGCTGGCAGAGACAATAAGCTTAAACTGAGATACAGGAGTCACCCAGACGCTTCAGACCAGCGGCCAACCTGTCGATCCCCGATATCCCAGTGACCGCTTTCAGACCACTGGCTTCTCCCGGGGGAGGGGGGGAAGCGACACCTCGCTCACTGTTGCCATGCCGACTGCTTCATCTCTACGTACCATTCCACATCACCCAGGCATTGGTAAATGTAGCTGGTCGCTGTTAGTTGGTTGCAAGGGAAAAAAGAATTCAAGTTAATACCATGTCCTTCGTTTTAGGTGAACATTTTTTGTTTTGTTCCTTTTTAATATCTCTTTAAATAGCTTTATAACTCAATAAGGAATTTAGACAAGCCAGTAATTCCCACAATATAGTCCAATTGGCATTATATATCCTTGATTAAACGTCAGATCCATCAGAATGTATTTTTCTTGCTCAGGTAATCAGAATATCCTGCTGTTACTACCAATTATGACTGATGAAGGAACTGAAAAGCTTTAAAATGGTTTAGAATAAAGCAAACAAAATTAAGACATCATATCAAGGACAAACAGAAGTGCACAGACTACTCACAGGTAACATATTTTAAGTATTCCTGAATCGTTTACAATTTAAGGTGATGACATTAAATGTTATACAAAGGAAAATAAACTGGTTAAGGTGGGAGGTTTTGCTTGCACAGGTAACGAACAGAAGGAAACAGGGTGTGACAGGAAGCCTGAGAGACTGGGATTTGCTTACCTTTTGCCTCGGAGCTGCCTTAAATGATGAAACACATTGATGACATCCCTAATTCGTCGAGGGGCTTCTTCTATCTTCGAAGCCAAGTTGACACATGCCATGGCAACAATCTGGAGAGAGAACAGATGACAAAAAGAGATGTCAAAACACTGCTACACAAGAAACCAAGCATACATAAGTTCAAGGGGGTTCCACTTTATTGAAGCTATTAACAGATAAATAGAAATTTACATATGTAAAAGGACCCCAATTCTAAAATGTAATGTATGTGGAAGCACCAAATTTTTGACCACAAAATTATCAGCCAAAAGGGCTTTTTCAGTTTCCCGAAAAGAAAAAAATGATTAACGTGCTTTTAAGTTCAAAAAATGCGAAGCACACCTTTTTGTGGACAAAAAGAAAAAAGAAAAGAAAGACAGCTCCAGATAACTCAAAACAGTAACTACTAGTCTCTATCTTCAAAAGTCTCCGTATCGTCTTGACAACACAAACACTGCTGTCACCTCAACGGAAACCCCGCCTCTGCTTTTATTTGATTGGAAAATGAAAACGACGCGACTGACGTAACACGCTTATTCCACTCAGAGGTGACATTTTTTTCAAGTGCAAGCGCGCAATGGCAAAAGTGCAGGGTGCAGCAGGCCATTGAAACCTATGAGTAGCGTGCAAATCACTCGCAGCCGTCAATAAATCATTCAATAAAGGTGCCTCACAACATAGAAAGCACATTCTGTGGATTGGCCCCTAAGAGTGTAACGAAACAAAGACTAGGCTGCACCGGATTTTACTTCAGCTGTCATCTCTATTAGAGGTGAAGTGGCTTTCACAGTGGATGCAGAAAGCACTACGCAATAAAACCCATTATTTTAATTATCTGCATAGTTGCTACGGCGACTAAAGCACAACTAGCTTGTGTACATACTAGTCTGTTAAAAAAATAGCTCAGTATTTTGCTCTGTGTATATTCTGCTCATGTACACGCATACATATATGCTAAAATTGTACAGTTAATAAATTATACAGTTAAAAAAATATCAAATTGCAATTATGTTATTGAGTTACATTTAAATTAAATAATATTATAAAGTATTTGGGGCAAATTACATTAAAATAAGCCATTTATTATTCCTTTTTTGGAAGAACTGTTAATAGAATAAAGCAAATATAATAATTTTATAAAATCCCATACTGGATGAAGTTTTTGAGTGGCCTCTTAAATTTAAGCTGTACATCCACATACATACACTTTATCTATTCTTACATGAGCATTTTACATCCATTTTTACACACACCCAGCACTATGTTTTAGCTGTAATCTGACTAAACGTCAGCTCAAACAACATGGCTGCCACCCGCAATGCCTGTAAACAAGCGTTTATTCTCTTACCTCAAAACTGTGTTTCACGAAAGACTTCGAGTAGAAGAAGCGATGAAAAAGGACCTGTCCAGTAGCCATGGCAACCTGAAATACATAATTAGGATTTTTCTTTAAAAGGATTCCATATAAAACCCGTTTTGTCTCAAAAGCAGCGCCCGCCATTTTGTTTTTGTCCAGCATACACGGACATCATTCGTTAAATATAGAAAATCACAATCGTTCTCCTCTAAATTATACACCATGTTAAAACAAAATTAACTTATTATTTTATTAACACTTTCTCTAGTCCGTGTGATGTTTGTATTTATTGGGTTGTCTGATAAAAGTCGCAGACGCTAATGATTAGCTCAAAATGTCCCAGTTAACGTTATTTGACAGCTCTTCCTTTATATTACCATTGTCATAGTCTAATAAATGAGTCGATTACCTGCGGAAGGCGCAGCAGGATTCCGGCGGACTGGATGAGCTCGCAGCCCAGGATCCGCAGGTCGGTCTCGGTGTACAGGTCGAGGCCATCCTGCATAGACGGGGTCGGGGAAAGCTTTTCCTCTGGAATCAGTGAATTGTCTATGGTAAGGAAGACTTCAGAATATACTTTATCCCCTATTAGTATGCCCTCGCTGTTATTAGCGGGCGTGTTTGCGGCGGGACCGGCAATGTTAACAATCGACGGCTCCATGATCGCTGTCGTCGGTACCTGCCGAAGACGTTACAATCTAGAAATATATTTGTAACCTAGAGCGGATAACAACAATCCAGTCGACCGCTTAAATGACAGCTCGCTGATTGGTGCAGAGTTGTGTCATGTGACCAAAAAAAATATATCGGACATACTGTTACATTATTCAACGCTGTAAGCTTTCAATAATGTTCTATTTTTGCACCAATACAGAAGTTATCTTCTGAAAAGAATTAATTCTACACTTTGTGTATTATTGGTTATGCTTTAGATTGAATGCATTGCCAAACAGGGTTTGTGTCAGTCGAAATATATATTTTTACAGCGCCTCCTGCAGATGGAACTTAAAACAGGCAGTTCCCTTCATTTCCAGGTATTTGTATTTCGGTAAGGGTTGAACGTTGGTCTGACGAAATCTGTTATTACAGATCTGTACACATCCGCCGTCTCATGTAGAGCCGAATAAAATGAATTTATGTGCGTAAAATAAAGAGTAAATATATAAACATAAAACTTAATTACACTGTAGCTTATAAAAGAAACTATTATTACGAATGTTTGCCAAAGAAACTTCTGCTTCATTTTTTTTTAGCAGTGTGAATTAGTCTGGTGTGAAAACATTTCCGTTGGCAATTTAAATTCTTATAACGTTACATCTGCTATGTCTATTTCTAAAACTGTCTATTGCTAGGATTTCCTGTTCTCTAAATGTCTTAAAATATTACAATTACAATAAATAAATAAATATGTGAAGAATGTTTGTCTTTCCTGTTGGTTGTGGTGTTTTTTTCTTCTTTCTTTTTTATGTTATTATTTGTACATCAATTTATTACATTAAAATAATCAGCAATGGTTTTCATAATTTGTGTTGACATTTCGAGTCAAAACTGTTTTACTTAGTGGGGACAAATACGTTATTATGGCTATTCCTTTTGAGAACCTATATAATTGTAATACTGTGTATTATGTAATATGGGTATTGGATATTTTTAGGTGTATTGTACAGTTCCTGCTAGTGACTGAACACTGACGGGAAGCGCAGTGACGTTGATAACAGGAACCAAAATCAGTGGTACATATCCATCCGCGGGTGCGTACTACACCCGTGATGCTGATGCATCACGTCACCAGAAGAACCTTATTTTGAAAATATTCACTGGTAAAATGCCTGAAAAAGTATGATGCTGCATAATTTATTACAGCTGCTGATGTTTTGCGCATGTAAAAATGTAATGTAATAACTCTTAGTTGAATTTAATAATACTTTGGAATGTTAAATTGTCAAAAAAAAAAACAATTTTTTCAGCCTTAAATTAAGGGTTATTTTCAAACCCAGTCAAATTTGCCTTCCAAATGTTGACATTGAAAAGTTTATATAATTATCTTGATTTGTTTTTATTAGAATGGTTACATTTAAAGTCTGAGTCCAGTTTTAATCACTATTGTAAAATAACTAATCATATCTGAAGATAAAACAAAAAAGTTTCTGAAGAGAAACTCTTATTTTGAGCATGAAAAGCATCTGTGGTACTAGATAATAAACAATTGCTTGTAAGCTATAAGGCTGATGAAGAGGCTTCATCAGAGATGCCCAAACTAGGGTCTGCGGGCCAAAGTTGGCCCATAGTAACCTTTGATTTGGCCCGCCATCCCATCTGAGAAGAGTGGAAGAATGATGGGGATTTCAAATCTAATGTAACCTTTTGTTTTATTGTTAAAAGCTAACTGAAATTAAATATTTCAATTAAATATTTTAAATTAATCAGACTTAGTTTATATGTACAGTTGGACAGAGGACAATGCAGAGACTTTGGTGAGCAAATGAAGGCAAAGACAGATTCTGCTTGACTAGTGTATTCAGCATTGAACTCCACTGCTCACTGTTGTTTTATTGCAATAAGTTTATTTTATAAGTTACACTGCATTAATACAATTTAAAGTAATGTTTTTTATTTATTATTTATATTTAAATATTAGGAAATAAATTAGGAAATTAACCATGGCAACTTTAATGTAATAAGGTTTGGTATATCTACTTTTAACCCACAGCTCATAATGACATTTTATTTTTGGGCCATTATATGAAACACTTTGGGCACCCCTGGGCTTCATAGACAACGCACATCCTACATTCGTTTATTTCTCTTTATGGTTTTAAATTTCAATGCAGTATTCCTAATATAAACTACTGACATCAACATTTTCCATTATAATGAGCAGAAAGGAAACCTTCTTTATTAGAAATGGACACTTTAGTGTTTCTGAATGTTAAAGATAATTTTATCTCCATATAGAACCTCTTAAGAACATATAAGAACCATACTTTACACCAAAATACTAAGCACCACAGTTACCACTACAGTCATTTTAACCAAGAAGCTTTCTCATGGTCGGTACAGTGATTTTGGGTGACCAACTTGCACAGCTACCAATTAAAATGACTTAATTTTGACAATGAAAATTCCTCCCATGCCACTTGAAACAATTAAATGTCTGTTCACACCAAGAACTGTAACTTGAAAGATAACTACATCAGCATCCACACAAATGCACAACAGCTTTCTGAATTAAAGAAGACGGCTTGTGCACTGCAGTTGTCATCTGCCACTTTAAATGCACTGTCAATGTACTTATCATAGTCGTGGTGTTGACTTTTCAATTCTATTCGAAATATTAGAGCTATCATCCTGTGTAAAATAGACCTTAATTCACTGCTATTTCTTCTCTTGCTGTATACTGTCCTGAGCTTGTTCCCTCATGCTGACCGTCTGGTGTTGTTGAAGGAGCTGGATGACGGCTAGCTGATTGTGTGCTCTCGCGATGTCCTCTGCTGTCTCTCTCCAGCTGCTCCTTAAATTGGGATCAGCACCTTTGTCCAGGAGAACTTTGAGAACCTGTGGATTGAATCACGGGAATACTGAGAGAGCAAATACACATGTAATCATTTATAACGAGACAATTATAAAGCAACACAAAAAGGCAGATCATCCCTGCAGGAATTAAAAACACAGATTCCTTTTGAGACCACTGAGATAAAATAAAGAGCAAATGAAAGATTTCCCTCCAAGAAGAAGACTGTAATAATGTGACAGTGCTTATTTTCAGCACAGAAAGGAAATATAAAAAAAATACTTTTCTCTCCAAATTCTGAATAAAAAGTCAGAAACGTGAGATAAAAAAGTCAAAATCACCTTTTTTTTCTGTGTCACAAACAAAAATGTAATTGTATGATGTAAGCATAGTTATGTGGAGAAAGATCACATTTGTGAGATGCAAAATTATAATCATATAAGTTGGCAGTTGGGGTTCATCGGTCCTTCGGTCAGGCTAGTTGGTTTGGTGTGTTCCACACGTCGGCTCTCATTGGGTTAACATCAGAGCTTGTTGGCCCAATTCAGCATGCCAAATCGCTGTTGGCGAAAGAGAGCACTCTGACTGCTTATTTAGCAACGAATCAGACATGAGTGTGATGTAGTGAAGTGATGTAGCAAGTAAACAATTCAAGCCAAAAAGGATCAAAAAGAGGCCGGCTGTTTGGTCCCCTTAAAGTAACGAGAAAACAGATAAGAGCGCAGCTCTCATTTTAGTCGACTTTTGTCCCTTTGGTTTGTTCAGCTTTTTGGTCCAGAAGCGATCCAGTGCAAGGCAACAACACAGTTGGGTTTTGTTGGTGCTCGTTTTTGGCATTGGCTTGGTGTGTCACGGCCCTGTTTTGAACAAGAACGGGTGGTCAAACAATATCCTATCCGTTCCTGACATCCTTTTAGAAAAACATGTCTTTAACCTGGATTCATACTTCAGGCTGGCTCTGCACCAGCCTCCACTGACAGAGCGCTCAGACACGAGTTGTGGACTCTTTTCAATACTTACATATCGACCTACAGAGGACTGTATACAAGTGCTGCACAGAATGACCAGTGCTTTCTGCTTCATGCATCCCTAGTAGCAAAGAATTCTGGCCCAGATTTGGCAAAAAGCTGGCACAGCAGGCATTCATCCGGCACTGGCATACAGCATGTGGGCCAAACATGGCCCGGATTTGGCAGAGGTGGCACCGTTTTTAAGGCGGCACACAAGATTTGGGCCAGATGAAAAATGTAGTATTTGGCCCATATTTAAAAATTTGATAAGCGGGCCATGTGAGTTTGGCCAGTCTTGACCCACATTTAAAATACACTTAAATCATTTTTGAGTAAAGAAAAAAAATTCTACCAATCAGGTGAGAAAAAGCGTGCCCATAGTGTGCCTAAAGCGCATCACTCCATGGGTTTATCAATTTCATTGCAATCGTGACACGCCAACCTATCTGGCCCAGTTCAGCCCCAGTTATGAGTTATTAACTTGGCTGAGACTTGGCCCAGATATGGTCTGTGTTTGGCCCTTGTCTGGAAGCCAGACTTGGTCCAGTCATGTACCGTAATTCACTGCGGCATGTGGGCCAAGCAAAACCTGATTGTGTGGGCCAGAGCTGGGCCAGAGAAATTTTGCTATGTGGGATTTCATTTAAGGGACTGTGTACACACCATGATTGTGGAAATGGTCAAGATGAAAACTCCTCTTTTCTGCACTTTGAACAAGCTGGAACCTTTACTGTCTATGGAGGATGAGAGAGCTCTCGGATAGGCTGATTCTGATCTTAAATATCTGGGTAAAAAACAACTTGTTTCCCATTGAACACAACACTGCACCATTCAGGTCCGTAGCATGGTTGGATGTTGGTGTATAAGCGAATTGTTTTTTAAATGTTTGCTGAATCGTGGGCTGACCAGTAGCTTTTAATGTAGACGGTCCTTTGCTGCTGAAGATACTGTTTGGCCTAAATAAATAAAATATTACTTAATAAAAAAACAACTTGCATACACCTTAGGAATGGTATAAAAATTTTAGCCATTTTAAAATAATGACTTTTTAAAACTGTGGTAAACCTTAAAACCAGTTATCATCCCATGCCTACTCTCGGATTTCATCTAAAATTCATCTAGAATTAGCATTTTTGGGGTGAATTAATCATTTAAAGAGCCTATATTATGGGTTTTTGAAAATTTCCCTCCATGTAGTGTGTAACACAGCTCTAAGTGAAGTGAAGTATCCAGCTAAGGCTTAAATCTGTAAGAATACAGTGTTCAAAACGGTTGATTCATCTATAAAAGAGTCGACTCATAGTGCTTCAAACGAGTCGCCTTGATACCGAGTCATTAGGTGTTTCGCCATGACGTACGAACGAAACCAAGTTATTCACGTGGACGCGCAAACCCGGGAGATTTCAAATCTGAGGCCCCGCCCTCTGACGCAAAAACCCAGAGACACACACCCACAAACACACACACACACAAACATGCCGGTCGATTGAAGTCACACTGCAGATGGATATTATCGAGGGTCTACCCAAAGATGAAACCTCAGCATTATAACCAAGCAGTTTGAAACTACTGGAAACTGCATGCTACAAAGAATACTTCATCGGCGTTTGTTAAAGGAAGGATCAGTAAAGAGTAACTTACTGATGGACGTCAGGATTAGTTTCTTCCTCCATTTCTCAAGTGTAAGTGCGTGCGATTAAAGTTGTTGCCTCGTTGACTCTAGCTTGCAAATGTATTTTGTTGTGATTTGTTACTTGTAACCGCGTATAATGTATCAGGTTAACTGGCTATATTCACTTATCGCGTGCAAAGTCACATTAAAAACGCGACGCGTGCTGCTTTGTTTATGGAGCTCCGTGGAGGAGTAGTGTGTGTGTGCGCGCGTGCGCTGTCGTCCAGAGGTATGTGTGTGTGTTTGTGTGTCTGTGCGCGCGCGCGTTGTCGTCCGGAGGTGTGTGTGTGTGTTTTTTTGTGTGTGTGTGTGTGTGTGCGCGCGCAAGGACGAGGGCAATGTGTGTGTGTGTGTGTGTGTGTGTGTCTGTGAAAAGAGCAGAGTGAGACAAGCTATGTGATCTCCTCGACAGTTTTTGGAGTTTTTGCTCAATAAAATAGTCGTCTGAATTTTCAAGTCCATCGACTGTATTTACATTGACCCACTGGCAGCTAAAATCCACGCCTATACTATCGAGCGTGTATGTACTGTGATTACTTTTATATTGCTGATTAGCTATTGGGCATTTCACTCTGACTGAAGGCAGTCGACCAATCGCAACAGGCTGTCATCGGTCCAATCAGCGCAGATTAGCTTCGTGCTAAGGAGGGGTTTGGGAACAAATGAATCACTGGACGATTCATACAGGAGTCACTGGGATAATTAGGTAAAAATAAATGCAGATTATAAGACCACGAAAGTGTTTTTTGACCTTGCATGCATATTAGACTGTTGTTGGAGACCCTTACAACCAGGATATGACCCTATTTCATGTATAATATGGGCTCTTTAAAACCAATGCATTCTGGGAAAGATGCCAGGCCAACACTGTGAAAGTAAGTTTTAATCATATTTGTTACTTAATAAATTACTTAAGTATCGCACCTTGCAGTGACCCCTCTCAGAAGCCAGGTGCAAAGGTGTCTGTCCGAGCCTCTCCACAGCATTCACATCGGCCCCATAGTGAAGCAATAGTTTGGCAGCCTCAATGTTGTCCCTGAGTGTGGAGTAGTGCAGCGGGGTCATTTTGAGATTGTCCCTGTCCTCCAGTCCTGCTCCGTTCAGAATCAACAAGTGCACCACTGCCCTGGAGCCGCTGCGGGCAGCAAGGTGCAGCGGAGACGCCACATCTCCATCCCTGACATCAACCCTGGCCCCTCCTGCTAACAGTTGCTGGAGAATCTACGGGGAAGGAGAAGATACAGTTATCAAGACAAATACAGAGGAGGATGACAAGTAGGGAGAGGAAGAAAGATCAAATGGTGCTAAGGAGACAGAAAGCGTACACTGCCCTTCACCCACACAAATGCCATCTGTTTCACAGTACGCAGTTGGCGTGACTCTGACTGCATACAGCCAACAGGGCAGCAAGACCTTGAATTCACAGTCTTGGCAGTGCAGGTTATGCTGCGGTAATAGGGTTGATTGGAAACAAATGCGTTTAGGTTTTTAAAGGATGGTTCATGTTTACAGGAGTTTCTTTAGAGAGAACCTTTATTGACCTTATTCTAAAATGCGGAAGTGCGCTTGTTTTCGCGATTGTCTTAGAACTTCCGTTTCAGTCACCTATGGGAGAAATGACTAGGAATAATAAACGGCAAAAAAACGGTCAAACTACTTGATCAACAAACAAATGTTTGCATGACTATACAGACCAAGTAGAATAATATAACAAGGAAACATCAAACAGCGAAACGAGCAGTTTTTAATGCTTAAAAATGAATGGAAGTGAATGAGACCGGAAGTCTTGTGCCAAAAAGATTCAAATGGCTGCGCCCGCTCGTCCGTGGAGAAAAAAGGGGAATAAAAGACAACATTAAAAAAACACTGTTTAACATGAAGTTCTCATCTCATCATCGTTCAATTTTTTTTAAAAAGTATTATTTGACAGGTGTTTTTTATTATTATTATTATTAATATTATTATTATTATTATTATTATAAAAATTGGCCTAGCATTGTACTTCTTGCTAGTTTTCCAGTTACTAAATTTTCTGTCAAAATAAAAATAACAGACAGATTTAATGTTTTGTCCTTCACATGAACAGGGTCCGTATGTGATATCTAGTGTATATATCTATGGGTTGATGTTACAAGTGCTTTATTGAAACAAAATGACTTGTCTGGTTGTAGATTAGTACACTTTCATATTTTAGATGTGAATGCTGTCGAGTATGTTCTACTAAATACTGAGCAAAGGGTCTGAATACTTAAGACCATGTGATATTTCAGTTTTTCTTTTCTAATAAATTTGCAAAAATGTCAATAATTCTGTCTTTTTATGCGGTGCTGTGTGTACAATAATGAGGAACAAAATGAACTTAAATGATTTTAGCAAATGGCTGCAAATTATATAAAATAATAAATAAATATAATATAAATTTAGATTTTATGCAGACTTTAAGATCATGTGTAAGCTGTAATGCATCTCACTTGACCGCCTGTGAAAGAATCAGTGTAAATGCACCTAAATTTAGGTGTAAATTGGGCTTTGGGTTAAACATTATGAGGTCAAAACATTTTCAAAACACTTGAATGCATTGGAAATTTAAAATAAGGCCTATGAAATGGCTTTTTAGAAAATAAATAGGATGAATTTGTATTCACCTTCTTGTCTCCAGAGCAGGCACAAAGGTGCATGGCTGTGCGTCCATTAGGACCCCTCATATTGGCGTCCGCACCTCTCTGGAGCAATAGTCTCACCCCCGCCTCATTCCCCACCAACACCGCCAGCTGCAGCGGGCTCATTCCCACACCTTTTCCTCCCTCCACGTCTGCGCCATTATCCAGCAGGAGCTCAGCCACATCCCCCCAGCCTCCGAAAATTGCCCAGTGCAGAGGTGCCCACTTATTAAAGTCCTGGGGGTTCGGTGAGGCCAAATGTTGGAGCAGAACCCGAGCTGTGCCCAGGTGTCCGCTTGCTGCAGCCAGGTGAAGGGGTGTCTGGCCGGAGCAGGACCTCGTTGAATGTGATGCCCCCTTCTGGAGGAGGAGGTCTGTGGTCTCTGGGTTTCCTCCACTGCAGGAGCGGTGCAGGGCGGTGCAGTTGAAGAAGTCCTGGTTGTTTACCTCCACCTGGCCGGTTTGCAACAGGAACTTGATCAGCATGAGATGACCCTTGAAAGAGGCGTGGTGGACAGCTGTCCAACCATACGGGTCCCTGGAAGCACAAAATGCTCCAGTCAGCAAAAACAAGCCTGTGGATTTTTATTTTGGGATTATCACAACACTTTTGCTTGGCATTAGGCATGAGTAGGCCCACACGGAATCTGCGCACGCAGAATTCTGCAGATTTTCCACAGAATTCTGAAGATTTTTAGCCCATCATTAATTCTGTTTATTTACTTTGAGTAAATATGTGTAAATCTAAATTTATTCAGTTTTAAAATTAATTACAGTAATATTAATGACTAATATGAAAATGTTAATCGGATTTAAGTACAATGCAGTTTGTAAAGTAATATTTTCTGTCTTTTAGTAGATATATGAGAGACTTGCTTTGTTTACTAAATAAAGTGAATCTAATTGGATTTGCATTTTAAACATTAAATAAAAGTAAAAAAGTTTTTTTTTATTTCCCATATTAAGGTTTTAGTTATGATGCTCCCAAAATCATTTCGCAGAAATCCACAGATTTTTACAAAAATTTTCCACAGAAATAGCAAAAAACATCCGCAGATTCCGTCTGTCCCTAGGCATGACTATTTCCTTCTCTTGCTAACATCTTCTGTGACTAACGCTTATTGTGCTTATTTGAAAGAGACATATCTTGTAAAGTGTGAACTTTAGACCAAAAATACTGTTGACAAAATTAATCACTAAGATTTGCTGTTTTATGGTTCATGGCTTACAATTTACAAAAAAAAAATTAAATTTCCAAACGGTAAAATTCCTTGCAGGTAAAGAAACACGGATAGATACTATAGGTCTCATTGCGTAATTTAAAGGAATAGTTCACCCAAAAATGAATATTTTCTTACCATTCACTCATGTTCAGGTAGTATTGAACCTTTAGGAGTTAAAAAAATGTTGTAACATTGACATCCATAGTAGGAAAAATAAATACGATGAAAGTCAATGGCTACCAATTTCCAACATTCTTCAGAATATCTTCCTTTGTAATCAACAGAAAAATTTAAAACAAGTTTGGACAAGTTGAGGCTGAGCCAATGATGACAGAATTTTCATTTCTGGGTGAACTATCCCTTCTACACTGGCTTTATCTTGTCATAATTTAAGCTACAAAAATCAGTTTTACTTGAAGGGGGTGTTCACAAGACTGTCATTATACCTTTATACTCATGACATCATGAATATCAATGACATTTTATACATGCGGTGGCAAGCGCAGTGGTAAGCGCTGTCACCTCACAGCAAGGTCGCAGGTTCAAGCCTCAACTTGGTCAGTTGCCGTTTCTGTGTGGAGTTTGCATGTTCTCCCCGTGTTTGCATAGGCTTCCTCGGGGTTCTCCGGTATCCCCCACAGTCCAAAGGCATGTTCTATAGGTGAATTGGGTAAGCTAAATTATCCGTAGTGTATGTGTGTGAATGAGTGTGTGTGGATGTTTGGAAGGACATCCGCTGTGTAAAGCATATGCTGGATAAGTTGGCGGTTCATTCTGCTGAGGCGACCCCTGATTAATAAAGGGATTAAGTCAAAAAGAAAATAAATGAATAAAATTGATTTTACGCATGTTTATGACAACTTCATTTACTCCATTTGCATTTCAAATGCAAACATTGCTTGAGTTTTTATTTGGATAACCTGACATAAACAAATACATCAGAGCATGTTTTTGTCTTTGTCATGACAACTTCACATTACAAAGACAACATAACTTGTCATGAAGCTGTCATAAACATGAGTGTCATTATGCAATTGTAATCGGGTCATGAATATTTTTCTGGTCACTTTTATTTAATGGAAGAAACCGAATTTGTCAAATGTTCGTTAAAATTTCTTATTTAATGTCTATAAATAATTTTAGAACAGCATCATTAATTTTTAATCACACTTTAGTAACAAATTCAATTTGTACCAGTAATTAAAGTCAAGAAATAAATGAATATACTTGTTATATACTTCATGACACAATAATAATGGCCTCGTGCAATCGTGCCTAGGACAGATGGTTGCAACTTAAGCTCATTCTGAAAATGCAGCCTTATATACTTTTCTGGAGATCATGAATTATGTAGCCAGTAGTATGTATGGCTCCATTTTGTCTTTAAAACACACAATACAGGGCAGTATGACGCTGTTTCTTTTACATGGTATATGCAGGAATCCTAAAGGTATTGGAATCCTATTTTTAATACATTTTTAAGTCTTTTTAAAGACATCCTCAGAATATTTTAAGACCTCATCGCCCCTTCAAGTTCTAACCAGTATCAAACCTTTAACTTAATAAGCAGTTGTTAATAAACAGTTGTAGTTAAATAAATCAATGGAGCAAACCATGCAACAGAACTCAGATAAGCTCAATAGAAACAAAGCTTGAAAGAATAAATTACGCTGCTGTTTTCAGCGACAGGCTTTAGCCACTGATGAAAAACGCATGCTTCTCCAACCAGGAGTACACAAACTTACATTTTTCCATTTTGCCATCTGTTCAGCTCTATGGTTACGTTACATGTTGAGAGCGTCACATCACCTTACCGCGTTTGACGCAAATTACGTGACATCACCCAGATGGAGGAGCTTGGCTGGACGTGCCCAGTCTGAATTAATCGCTTGGATCGAGAACGCTGTTGTTAAAATTAGGAGCAAAATAAATATATTTATGCTTTTTTAAACACTTTTTCAAACACATGAGTCAAACACTTTAGAAAATGCTTAATAAAAATTTAAGCCCTCGTAGAAACGCAATTAAGACTATTTAATTCCTTTTCAGGGTCCTAATTTTCTCATAATTGATTTATCAACTTTTAATACTTTTTAAGACCCTGCAGGACATCCTGTTTTTGTCTTTACCAGCTGACCGCTTACCTCCATATAGACCGCTTTCCCACTGTTACTAGTTTGTTCGGTAGCTCGACATGTACGACGGAGATGCAGAGAGGAGTTGACCGCAACAACGGGGTTCGAGTTCAGTAAAGAATGATTCCAGAAAGCGGGTAAGACAAAAATAGAATCCAAAAAGAAAAATTAAAATAAGCTAGTAATTAACATGGTGAGAATGTAGTAAAATCTGCAAACGTGGTGAAAATTTTCTTTTTCTGCTTTTCAAAACACTATCGGTTGGGTTTAGGGAAGGGGGAGGTTGGGGGGATCGGTAGGTTGGAGAGTTAGCAAGTCAAGTCAGTCGACAGCACCCTCTGGTGCATTTACGTGAGAACAGCAGGCGCGAATGGCACTTGCCAGAGAAATTTGTGATTTGAAAAAGTGTACACAGTGGCCTCTGGTGGATTTGTGAAAACAAAAACTGCAAAAAAATGTAGCTCCTGGCACATACTTTGCACTCTCCAGAAATGTACGTAGGGGTACATAACCATTATGAGACTTTGTTGGATTATGACAGGTTATGTTGTCTTGGTTATGTCAAGTTGTCACAACAAAGACATCTCAAGCAATGTCAGCTTTTAAAATGTACAATATCTGAGCAAATGACACTTAAAGACAGTTGTCAAAGTAAAAGTGTAAAGATAAGTGTTACCAAAATACACAACGTGGCTTCTCTAAGAGATCATAGATGTAGTTTTGAAAACTGGTTGTGGAGAGAAAATAAAATAATAGCAGGATTAAACGTTTTGGATGAATATTTCAGATCACAAACTGGCAGTTAGCAGGCACCCCTCGCTCCAGCATGGCCTTGACTTGCTCCAGACAGCCGTCCCATGCAGCGTAGTGCAGCCTGCGCTCATCCAGCAGAGAGTGCCTGGGTTTGGGTCGACGGTGGATCCTCCACTGTCTGGTTCCTGCAGTCGTCCGAACCTTCCTCTCCACAGAGCCCATGGACACAGAGTCATGGAGCTCCAGCCACCGCCAGTGCACCTCTGGGCCTGCGCGAGCCATGGCAGGACAATCTGTGGAGGACCAGATCATACATTGCATTTTAATATGTTACTTCTATTATTACTGGCCTACTACCAAGTAAGATTTAGTAAAGATTACACTGAACTGAAAGTGAATAACAAATTAATTTCTGGCTATCTCCACACTTACTCCACTAGGGGGTGGTAAAACTTTACAGAAGTTTCTCAGCCAGTTCATTACATCACTAAATTAAACCATTTCTGACCTATATTTGAAGTGTAATAAATGTTGAAATTGTGCGACTTGCTGTAGCTGTTGCATAACTTATAAAGTCATCGTCTCACTGGGTCTGAAATTCAACATGGATCTCCCAGCAAATGTTTTCAGCAGCTGTTCAGATCAGTTCTTTGGCTGTAATTTCATGTAGAAGCATGTTGTCATGGTAACAGTGGCTGCTATTTCTATTTTAGAGGTTTCATTAACTTTCCTGGCAGAATGTTGTGTGGAGAAAGTGTGGAAAGCATTGTAGAGATATTGTTAGAAATGGAGTATGTATTGCTATATTCTAGTTTAAGTCAAATCGAGCTTTATTGACAATCCGCTTTGTATGGACATACAGAGGAATGACATGTCGTGCAGGACCACAGTGCTACATAAATTAATCATAAATACAAACACAGCAGTGGACATAAGAGCTATTTTTTTCAAATCTATGTATAACTTACATATACATATATATGATACTTAACTATACACATAAGACAAGCTACATAAGTACAAGGTTGAAGTAAGCAGCGCAGCATGATTTTGGTACATTTATAGTAAACATCTTTTTCATTATTGAGTTTATGCAATGGAGTTTAGATAAAGTGTCGGGTGCATAAGAGAGAAGAGTGTTTCTACAGGTGGTTTGTCAAGCCCACTAACCTGTATGAAGAATATCCAGTTCTATTTCAAACTATATGAATCAGTATTAGGGCATTTAAAACATCAGTGTGCAGTGAGTATTGTGAGTGTAACGGTGGCCAACTAGTCAGTGCTGTGCAGGTAAACCTCACTCCTCTGACCTCTAAAGGTGTTTTAGCTACAGGCATTACAGGCCATGGTCTTTAGCCTCATTGGTAAAGCACCCAACTCCCATGCGGAAGGTCGCCGGTTTGATACCAGCTCAGAGCGGGTTGGGTGGCGTAGGACCAGCGGGGTGACATGAGCATTAGGGTGCTTTCACACCTGTGAATCGATTCAGTTGTTCCGAAACAGAGATTACAATTGTTACATTGTTGCCCTTTACTCACGTGCAAGTAAACTCTCCTTACATTGGTCAGAGTGTCAGGGTTTATTTTGCAGTGTCCCGCTAAGCTGTCAGGAGAGGTGGTGGTCTGAGGAGAGACCAATGACTGTAAAAAATATGGACGACGCGACAGCCCCTTTTCCCATTGAACGCCTTGAGGGCAAAACGCCTGCTTGACGGGCACAAACTGTCGCAAAAGACTGCTGAAATTGGAGACTTGACATGCGCAGAAGGACTGTCTGATGGAGCCAGAGGAGGAGCCGCGTAAATGAGCGGAGTCGAGCTTCCAATCAAACGCTTTATGTAAAATCAACCACGCCCCCCGAACTTCTCAGCATGCGTTTGCTGTCATATCAACACAGATGGATGTAATAACGTTAACAAATATGAGGGTTTTATATATTCAATCGCGCCAGCTCCGGGCCGCAGCGCATAACCTACTCGCGGCGTCGCGGGCTGATTCCGGCTGATTCCGGCTCGCATGCGCAGTGAGTCCAGGCATCCGGAGTAGGTCCAGCAGAGGTAGTCAGTCTGAGCTCTGAGGGGTAAGTCTCCGGCAGGCGAGAATCTAGCCGAACTGGTCCGAGTGTATTTTGGTATCTGGGTGGTTAGGCGTGTATCAGCAAACTAATAAAGCCCGAAAAAAGCCCTGACCTTAGCGAATAAACAGTGTTCCACCAGGATCATGTATGTAAGAAACTATAGTTTACTGCTGAACTCATTTTATCATGGTAAAATAACACAGAAATCGAATAAAACACTTCAGTCTCCTGCCGAAGCTCAGACGCGCTGCTTTGAGAAACTGTCAATCACTTCTGTCAATCACGATGACACGCCCAGCATTAAATTACTGCTAAAAACAAACTGTTTACAAAAATGAAGATCTGCACCTATTTCAGCACAATAACCAGTGCCTTAATCGACCAGAACCATCTTTCGGGACATTTTATTGCATGTGTAATAATTTTTTTTTTTATTTGGGCTCAAGTCTCCTTCATTAACACGGAGGAGGCGGGCTTTATGACTTGTACTGCAGCCAGCCCCCAGGGGGCGATCTAACGGCCGAGACCTTCTCTCAAACGCAGGCTTGCGGCACACTTGGGAGAGACGCGGTGGGGAGGGGTGAGAAGGGTGCGCGACCCGCGACGATGCCTATTTGAGGACCGGGAGGGAGACGCAAGATTACCGTGAGATCATCACTCGTTTGCGGGCATCCGGAGACTCGCGAAACTTCCCGCCCTACTCATAATTCTCTCTTCATATAGCCGTAAGCCTATTACATATCCATAAAACACTGTGATATAACCGCGCTCTTTTTAATTTTTCAAAAACCATTTTAAGGTCTAAACTATTAACTCTTATAAGCTATTTTTTTTTCGATAGTCCACAAAACAAACCATCTTCAACTTGCGTAACCCTAACCTGCCAAGTTAACCTAATTAAGCCTTTAAGCTTTAAGCTGTATAGAAGTGTCTTGAAAAATAAAAAAGTCAAATATTTTGTACTGTCATCATGGCAAAGATAAAATAAATCAGTTATTAGAAATGAGCTATTAAAACTATTATGTTTAGAAATGTGTTGAAGAAATCTTCTCTCTGTTAAACAGAAATTGGGGGAAAAAAATAAACTGGGGGGCGAATAATTCTGACTTCAACTAAAAAAAAAACTATATATATATATTTTTTAACTTTTAACAATGTATTACAAAATAGCTCTTGAAATGTACATTTTCAGCTCTCAAATTCATTCTGCGTAAATCTGCAGATTTTATCATTATTTCTGTACCAAATTCTGTGCAGAAATAACGTAAACCTAGATTCTGTCTGGTCCTACTTATAGCCTTTTAATTTTGTTTTAAATACATTTTACAGAAAGCTTTTTTTATATCATGTTTCACAGAGGGCGAGTAAACAACGAATTGTCTTTTTTAGCAGTCAGACTGACAGATGCAAAGAGGTGTAGTTTAGAAGGATCACACTCGAAGTGTTGTTCTCGCTGTGAATGCATGTTCCAAGCCAAGCTGCGAGCCGCTGGAGATCTGGAGGCGTGTTCGGCCTGTCATGTCGTGGGAGTTCGGGATTATGTGGGCGGACAACTGCCTCCTGCCCTCGCCATTTATCAAGGCAAAATATCTTTTTAGAGCACAAAACTGCACTGATGCTGAGAAAGACTATACAATTACCTCAAGTGACATGATGCTATTTTCTAACATTTTTTACAGTGAAATTAACACTATTCCACATTCACTTTCCAATGCCCACCAAACTCATACTGACTGTACTGAGTGGCTTTCCAAGCAATTAATAAGTTCAAAAGATAACTTGCTTTTCCTGTGAGTTTAAAACAGCAGTCACATAAATACACATTATTAGAGACGATTGTGTGAATTTGCAGATGACTGAAAAACGAGACAGAAGTTACCTGTGAGTGCCTGTTACTCCATGGCGTCTTGCTTCTCTCCGGTGTTCTGTGTTCTGAGCCGTTTTCTTAGCGTGGCATAACATGTAAGTCCGGTCTTTCCGCTTCCTCTGATATTGTTCAAGTGTTTTATGTTCATCTGAGGTTGCTATGGTGAGATTGGGCTGTCGGAGCACTGTTATTATATGATGGCACTGATGAGAGAGAGAGAAAGAGAGAGCGAGAGTGCGCATGCCTGATGGTTGCTGAGGCACATTTAAATACGCACTCAAATGCTTGTGGGCTTGTGGTTAATTGTCTCCTATACTCTTTTTTTCTGTGTAAAACTCATTGAATTGTTGTTCATTCATTCATTCATTTTCTTGTCGGCTTAGTCCCTTTATTAATCCGGGGTCGCCACAGCGGAATGAACCGCCAACTTATCCAGCAAGTTTTTACACAGTGGATGCCCTTCCAGCAGCAACCCATCTCTGGGAAAATCTTAGCAGAGGATGGTTTCAATCCATGGACCTCTGGGTTATGGTCCCAGCATGCTTCCGCTGTGCCACTCTGCTACGAAGCACCCTAGATGGGACTCAAACCCACAATCCCAGGCTTAAGCCTTGTTTATACTCGGCGCGTCCGCTTGTTCCATTAGGGCAATGGGGCAGGACACATGAATTTTTGTAGTTTTTAAAATTTCACTATCATTATCACAGTTATTTTGCTTAGTGTGATCTTTTTTTTATGTTTTAAATCAGGGCAGCACAATGGCTCAGTGGTTAGCACTGTAGCCTTACAGCAAGAAGGTCGCTGCTCTGTGTTCCCAGATGGACACCTTGTCATTTCTGTGTGGAGTTTGCATGTTCTTCTTGTGTTCGCATGGGTTCTCTCGAGCTCTCAGTTTCCCCCACAGTCCAAAGACATGCGGTATGGGTGAACTGAATAAACTAAATAGGTCGTATTGTATGAGACATATGAGTATGCGTGTGTATGGGTGTTTCCTGGTTCTGGGTTGCTGCTGGAACATATTTTGGAATAGTTGGTAGTTCATTCTGCTATAATGACCCTTGATAAATAAGGGACTAAGCCGAAGTAAAATCAATTAATGAATGAATGTTTTAAGTCAACCTATGACATTTCCAGCCCCATTTCACAAGGAAACTAAACGTTCCCCATAATGAAACCTTACCCATATATACATTTCTGGAGAGTTCCAAATATGTCCCAGGATGTTTTTTGTTTTGTTTTTTTTTTGCAGTTTTTGTTTTTGCAAATCCACCAGAGGCCGCTGTGTATGCTTTCTGAGATCTCAAATTTCTCTTGCAAGTGCCATTTGCAACTGCTCTTCTCACATACATCCACCACCTGACTGACCGACTGACCAATTCCCTCTCAATTTCTTCCCTAAACCCAACTGACAGTGTTTTGAAAAGCAATCCTCTCCTCATTTTTATCACGCTTTCAGGTTTTACCTCATTCTCATCCTGTTATTGACTTTATTTTATTTTATTTTTTGTCTTACCTGCCTTCTGAAACCATTCCTCGTTTAATCAAACTCCATCATTGTGGTCAACTCCTCTCTGTGTCTAAAGTCCGCTGATGTACATGGTGAGCTACTGGACAAACTGGTAACAGTTGGAAAGCCATCCACATGGAGGTAAACGGTCAGCTGGTAAGCGTGAAAAACAACGGTGCCAAACCACCCCGTGGCGTTCATTTTAACGACGAAATGCAGTCATATGTACTTCTGGATACATAATTCACGATCTCCTGAAATGTATATAGGGCTACATTTTCAGAATGAGCCTATGTTAGCAAAACTAGAAAAAGCATAAGGACAAAGTTTAGCCTTCGTGTCCACTGAAGTGTTTTTGCGCTGCAGAAATGCAAGCAATTTACTATAAATGCTTAACGGTTTTTGCAGCACAGCATTTTTTCAGTAGGTTGCTATGATAGATTATCACTGCTGTATCAATGCTATCTCACAGCAATTCATAACTTTTTGATCTAGTGGAAATTCATATGAAATTGTACAATCTCATTTGTACAATTTAGTATGATTTGCTTATCCCCCAATGACAACTGGGTTTAGGGGTGGAGTTTGGTGCCGCACCTTCTTTTTAAAATCATTAATTTTCAATTGACTGAATTGATAGGAATTTGTAGGAATTAGCCACTAAACGGACAAAACATAAAATACTTACATTTCCTTTGTGAGATCAGTCTGTCTGTACCATTACTATAGATCATTACAAATTGAAAGTCTTTAGCAGATTATTTGTTGACGGTTGCATGGTATTGTCCCGCCCCTCCTCCACTGTGAATGGACAGCTAACTCAAAAGTGACAATAAAGGGCGCTACATTTTTCAACTTGCAATGGCTGAAAAAACACAAATGCTGCGCCCCAATTCATATACTATCCGTCCTAAATAGTATTCAAAAATAGAAAAAGTATGTCTCAAACTGCAGTATGTTGAAAAGCCAAAAGTTCACAGACGATTTACTATTTTCGATAAAAATTCAAAGTGCAGTCTAACTGCTAATACTGCCCACAATACATTGTGCGTTGGATGGGAATTTGATTAGAACTACAAAGTCGGGTAAAAAGTGTAAATAAACTACAAACATGGCGAATGCACAAGACCAACCGTCAAGTCGAGAGGCTTTAGTAAATTTGTTTGAATGTAATGACTATTAATATATATCTAGCCAACTGGAAAATATTTAATTCACGTTTTCCGTGTTATATTTCATCTGCAACAACAATGTGAACTCATATAAAACTTACATATTTTTCCTTTACGCCCCATTCACACGGGGCATCAGCGCCAACGGTTCCCATTCACTTTTAATGGGTGTTGTCAGGCGTTGCCAAACTGCATTGTGGATCCGTCGGCGCTGCTTCAGAGGTGTTTCTCGCTGCAGAAGTTGGGACTAGCTCAACTTTTCAAGCGCAGATGGAAGCATCAGCCAATCAAATTAGTGGCCTGAGACAGTGGCCTATTGCTAACTGAATTTCATTGGCTGACGCTGCTATGACGATCGTGTTAGCCCTAACTTCAGACATGTCTTCAGTCAAGCGTTGACGCTGAAGCCCCGTGTGAATGGGGCGTTGCAAAAGAGTACATACTTTTAGAGCGTAGTGTAAGTATGCGAATTGGGAAGCAGCAAGAGTGTTCAGCGCTGACAGTAAAACACAAACTCATCACCTCGCCATGCTGCATGCACTCAAAACATGGTGCTACCACAACAACATAAAAAAACACTCACAGCCAAGAAAAAATTATACTGTGGACACTGTCTTAATGTTTGCTTTAGAAACTATAGCTTGAAAGTTTATTACTTTTAAAAGGTAGAAGTTTGAAAGGTTTAAATTTGAAATCAAAACCAAATTGTTTGAACCCTGAGTATAGTTCATAGTCATATCAGCCTAAAAAATAGCAATTTTCATTTGTCGTTAGGCTTAGTGCACGATGTAACTAAAGAAGAGTCTCAGACCCAGACAATTTATCTATATTATAGGCTCTTTCTGAAAACGTAGCCCTATTTTTGTAGAAAGCAAATTCAAAAGTCAAGCTTTAAATAGGAGAATTATTGAAAATATTTGGTCATTTTAGGTGAGATGCTAATGGTCTAATCCAATTCAATTATTTATGCTAAGCTAAGCAAAAAAAATTCCCGCCAGTCCTGGAGATCGGCTAACTGGATTAAAAAATGATAAAACTTGACTGTTTAACTTTAGGGAAGGTGTAAAATGGACTAATTTCCCCACAAAAAAAGTTTCTTTAAGGCAACAGGTTTACGTATTTTTAAGTAAAGCCAATTAATTGCTTTAAAACCAACAAGTTAACTTCCTTTTTAAAGTCAAGCTAATATTGTTTTTGAAAAATTGTCAACATTGACTTTTTTGACTGAACTCCACACAGCAAAGCATCCTTTTCCAGCTCAAACTCGAACCAGCAACCTCCTAGACGACAGTATAACAATTAGCCACCAGTCACAGCAAATGTCACGTTTGCAGTTGCCAAACAACAGTTAATCCTAGATACTCCTCTAAAGTTTGTGTAATGAAATCACAAGCAATCAATTTATAACAGAGTCCTGTTTCACATTTCCACGTCTGGAAGACCTTATTTAAGACTTCCTGTTGCTCAGTGGCTTCAGGAGTAAATCAGCAAACACACAATAGCGTAACAAACCATTTCTTGACATCCAAGACACGAGTATGACATCATCATCCTCCCTGCAGGTGATTTGCGCTTTGAGTCTGAATGGTGTGTTAATGTCGGGTGGGTTTTTGGGCTTGTGAAGGAAGGCCTGTTTTTTATGGGCCTCACAGGGGCGTCTCTTCAAGAGCACATTGTGTTTGTTTTGCTTCCCAGCAGGTTTTTGCCATTGACCTCCATCAAAGTACATTCACTGACCCACAAGAGGGCAATGTCTGTCCAGCAAAGATTTATTATCACACTGAACCGCTATATATATATAAACGTTCAAGTATAATAAACCAAAGGGGTCATGAAAAAAAAAAAACATTTCAAATTTGTATATCATGTTTCTCAAGCATCAAAAAAACAAAATAAAAAAATAAGATTTTCATTTCCCATTCTCATTTTCATTCTCTGTACAAAACCTGGTGAAAATTTGGTCTAATGTACGACTAAACATTGACATCTTGGCTAAAACAAGCTAAATCTAGCCTGTCAATGAGAATCTAAGGAATGTTAAGTATATGAACACTGGGCTGCGCGGTGGCGCAGTGGGTAGCACGTTCGCCTCACAGCAAGAAGACGTTTCTGTGTGGAGTTTGCATGTTCTCCCCGAGTTTGCGTGGGTTTCCTCCAGGTGCTCCGGTTTCCACCACAGTCCAAAGACATGCGGTACAGGTGAATTGGGTAAGCACACTGTCCATAGTGTAAGTGTGTAAATGAGTGTGTATGGATGTTTCCCAGAGATGGGTTGCAGCTGGAAGGGCAACCGCTGCATAAAACATACAGGATAAGTTGCGGTTAAGGATAAGATGCTGGATCTGTCATGGTATACAAC